ATAATTTCGGAGTAGTTTCGAGCGCTTTTGCTATAAAATAGGATCAGTATATTCATGAAATGCATAATTACGAAACACAAAATAATTAGAATTTCATATTTCAATAATAATGTCTCAGAATTTTGATAATACATTGCGCGACTGGTCTTATGCTTTGACCAATGCTGACAAAAGTGAGTTAGAATTGTTTCATGTCAGGGGTTTAATAGCCCTGAGGCATGTGGCGATTCAACATGATTTTCTTAGGGCAGCATTAGACTATTGGAGTCTAGAAACACATTGTTTCAAATTTGATTACGATGAAATATGTCCCCTGCCGGAGGAATTTGGTGCAATCTTTGGATTTCCTGCTAGAAATCTTATTGCCATGCCTACCCTACGTGAATATTATTACCAAGATTTTGAACGCCATCTGAATCTAACAGATCCAGATTTAAATAGAATTGTGTGTGGTAATGAGGTAGACTTAGAAAAACTTGCAAATTTATATTTTAATCGCCCTATCTCTTAGTCTTATTATGTATATCGTAGAAGGGAATATATTTTTTGCATGTTTAGCAAGCTGTTATTTGCAAACGGTAGGGTAGGACATGCTTGTCTAGCGTCTGTGCTTGAACATGTTGAATCTGGGAGATCCCCTATGCCTACGTGCCTTGGAGAAACGTTTCGTGGCCTTGACGATGCAAAAGCTGACTGGAAAGCCATCAGGAAGAGCTCTCTGGTATTGCTGTAGGTAAAAATACGCTCCGAGTAGCCCCCGTAACACAAAACAGGCACCGTGTCACGGTGGCTGTCTGCCGTGACACAGTGAAGTCTGCCGATTAGAATTATTTGAAGCCCCCGACATGGACGGGGATTTGGTTGATGGAGCGTTTAGAATTATTTGAAGCCCCCGACGATGATGAAAAATATGGCCCTAACGACCTAGTCCGCAGGAAAAAGAATTACTCTGTGAACATGTCGTATGAAGACTGGAAAAATTTCTTTACAAAGAGGGAATTTTCCATTCGTTGGGTGGTGCCTTGGTGGAGGCTTACTAGGTTGGTTGGTACGAATGATACTCCATATTGTCGTGTTCCTAGTATCTCAAAACTGACTTTTTATTGTCCTTCTCGACTGATGCTGCAGTATGGACTAGAACAAGTAGTTCCATGCTATAACGATAGTCCTCGTGAAGTATCGTTGCATGAAAGTAACGTTCACAAGTACGAGACTTACTGGATTGGAAGACCTTTGTGGACCGTTTCTGCTAGTGACCAAGTTCCTCCTCCTTTATCTAGTGCATACAAGGCATGGTTGAACCCTAGAAGTAGGAGGGAACGATTCGGATCACGCAAGTTTGATGTGAAGAGTCGTCTTGGAAATAAGAAAGCACCTCCTAAATATCGTCTAGGTCCAAGAACACAAGGGATTGAGTTTAAGACTCCTATAATGCCGAAAAGGAAAAATTATGTGAAAGGGAAGGGTAAAGAGAAGATAGTCTATAGAGAGAAACAACCAAAGAATTTTAAGAAAGGTGAAAGGGGTGAAAGTTCGACTAGGGGTGTGACGGTTCGGGCTACAAAAGACACATTAATGGTGAAGGCCGACCTAATTGACAAAGAGAATGAGGTTCCTAAAGTGAAGAGGGATTAGATCAGTATTGCTTTGCTTTTATGATTTATAATTTTTTATTTAAAATAAGGCGTATGATGCCAATAATTGTAGTCACATTTATTTCAATAATAATAGCATATTTATTTTAGCCTTAAATAAAAAATTACAATGACTTTTTTTTTTATTTATTTATCCGAGTTAAGGAGTCGGACACAATGGAAGAATGAAAATAAAAACCTCGAACAAATAATGAATTCGCAAAGAATGCGTCACTAAAAAATCAGAAAACCTGAAATTCCACCGTGTCACAGTGAAAAATCCCGTAACACGTTGCAAATTCCCGCGTCACGACATTTTTTTTTTATTTTTTATTTTTTTTTTCAGGTCCACCGTGCCACGGTGGAATGTCCCGTGTCACGGCAGAGATCCCCTTTTTTTTTTAGTCGTGACGCAATGCTGAACTGATGCGTATACATGATCGACAGAGGGAGGATTTTATTTTTTGAAGTGGTCGGGCCCCCTTGAGGGGTTGCTGATGAGTCGTGTTTTGTGCGTATTTATTGGCTTATTTTTGGTTGGTTTTATTAGCTTAGTCGAGTGTTTTAGTCCATTTTGGTGTAATTTGGTTTAGTTTCGATGATTCGATGCTTTTATGGGTAGTTTCGTTGTTTTTGATGTATTTCAGGATTAACGGAGCTAAATGAGTGAAAATGAAGCAAAACGTTGATGAAATACTTGACAAATATGACACCTGTTCACTATTATGCTCATAACTTTTGATGTACAAATGATAATGGAGTGATTCAAATTGAATTGGAAAGTAGACTTAAAGACCTTTCCAACGATATATTACACGCCTCAAACGGAGCTCTGGATATGAAGTTATGACTGATTTAAGATGAGTGATATTCGCAGCAGAGCAGGCACGTCCGTGCCTGGAAGACAGACTCAGCAGCGTTTTTATTTTTAGAGAGGCACGTCCGTGCCTCACACTAGGCACGTCCGTGCCTCCTGGGATTCTTGTGCGCCAAGATTTTTGCCGACTTTCTTATCTTTTCTAAGGCTATTTATATACCAAGTGGTGTTTTATTATTTCATTAAGTTTTATTCTAGCCTTTTATTTTTACGTTATTAAGAACTAGTTCTCAATTATTATTTTCTAAGTTTTTGTAATTCAAGATTCAAGATTCAAGCTTTCTACTTTCAATTTTATTCAAGATTTGGTATTTATTTTTCATCCTTTGTTATTCAATTATGTTTTCATTATTTATTATTGTTTTTGTTTCTTTAATCATGTGTGAGTAGATTCTTTAATTCAAGATCTAGTGTAGCCCTATTATTATTGATGCATGAATTAAATCTTTAAATTCTTTGACAACTTTAACAATTGAATTGCTAAATTGATTGTGATTATGCCAATGCTAGGTTAGACGTAACTATAGTATTGCGATTATTCCATTATTTTTATCACAGCGAGAGTTGGGTATAAACGGATTTGAGTAAATCAATTTAGGGTTTGATTCTCAACACGAGAGTAGTTGTGTTTGATAATTGGGAAGTGAGAGTAACGTGTTTAATGTCTTTAATATGCATGATACCATGAGAATAGGATTGATTGTATGTTAGGGAAGTCATTGATACTCGAGAGAGATCCTTGGTAATTATTAGGGTTTACTTTTCCCCGTTCGATTGAAATCGTATGTTAAAGGTACAATTACAATTGCATCGATAATAATTGTGGTGAAACTAGATCTTGGATGTTTTAAGTACTTGATTTAATCATCGTATTTAGTTTATTTTCGAATTCTTCTCATACTTAGTTCCGTAGATAATTGATTATAATTGATCCTTGCTTAGTAGAAATTCGAGTCTATTTAATTATTTTTGAACCTTAGTCTCTTGGGATCCGACCCTTACTTGCCAGTCTACATTAGTATTGGTCTGTTAGGTTATTTTTGATAGGTACGCGACACGCCTACCAAATTTTGGCGCCGTTGCCGGGGACTAACGGTTTCATTTGATTATTTGTGATTCATTTTTGCTAGGCTTATTTCGTTGCTTCGGCTATTTTCCCTTGTGTTTTTGATACCTTTCTCTAGTTTTTCTTGTGCATGCCCACACGACGCTCAGGATCAGAAGATATTGAACCATTTGATTCTGAGATTGAGGCAACTATAAGAAGAAGGAGAACAAGGAACAAACGCAGGAGAAACATGGTAGATCAACCAACGAAATCCCTCTTGGAGTACGGTATTCCTGATACGACTACCGGAGTCCTTTCAAGCATCATAAGACCACCAGTCACGGCTCAGCACTTCGAGCTCAAGCCACAGTTCATACAGTTCATCTCCAATGATTCATTCGCAGGGCTACCACATGATTTCCCCGTAAGTCATATAGATAGCTTTTTGGAGAAATGTGACACTATGAAGTTGAATGGTGTTACAGATGATGCAATCAGACTACGCCTTTTCCCTTTCTTACTTCGAGACAGGGCAAAGGAGTGGTTAAGAGATGAAGGCACTGGCTCGTTCGATACATGGGACAAGTTAGTAAAGGCCTTCCTAGTGAAGTTTTTGGGGAATGAGAAGACTGCAAGATTGAGGAATGAGCTACAAACTTTTAAGCAGTCAGATGATGAGTCTCTCTATGAGGCTTGGAGGAGATTTAAAAGATTGCAGAGACAATGCCCTCACCATGGCATTCCAGATTGGATTTTGATGCAGACCTTTTACAATGGCATGACTCATGAGTTCCGTATTTACATAGATGCTGCGTCAGGAGGTTCTCTCTTGACAAAGAACCCCACTGAAGCTAGGGAGCTCATACAGAAGATGGCGGCCAATGATAACTATCATCCTGGAGGCCGAAACACTGTGAAAAAGGGAGGTAAACTTGATGTTGATGCTTTAACTATGCTAACTAGTTCTGTGTAGGCACTAACAAGCAGGTTTGATAAGTTCCAAGCAGGAACTTCTAACACCCCACAGGAGTTGTGTCAGTTATGTCATGTGTAGGGTCATGTTGCTCCAGATTGCCCACAGATTTCGCAGAATGCGGAAGAGATGTCAATCGAGCAAGCCAATGCTTTATACTCCTCTAACCCAAAGAGGCCTTATGACCCTTATTCCAACACCTACAATGAAGGATGGAAACACCATCCCAACTTTTCCTACAAAAACTCCCAAGCGCAACAAAACCCTCCACCACCACCTCAACCCAATACCTACAACCAACCACCACCAGGCTTCCAACAGAAACCACCCAATGCCCAACAACCTATGCAACCACAACCTCAAAAATCAAGCCTAGAGGTGACCTTAGAGAGCTTCATAACCGCAACAAACAGTGCCATCCAACATCAAAATAGCTCTATCCAATAGTTGCAAGCCCAGAGTAAACATATGGAGAATCAGATAAGCCAATTGGCCAACCAATTTAACCAAGCTCTAAAGACTCCAGGAACCTTCCCGGGCCAGACAGAACAACCTCAAAGAGCCCAAATGAATTTTGTAGCCCTGAGGAGTGGAAGGCAGTTGGACGATCCTCCTACCATGGAGCCATCAAGGGAGGTCAATGAAGAAGCAGAGGCAAGTGAGAAGGAAGTAGAAGATGTTAGGGTTGAGGAGGCATCAAAGGAAACACCACTAAAGCCACTTGCTCCATATGTGCCCAAGATTCCTTTTCCTCAAAGGTTAGCACAAGCTAAACTTGAGAAAAAGTTCAGTAAGTTCCTCGATATTCTTAAAAAGCTTCATATTAATATTCCATTCCTAGATTCCATATCTGAGATACCTTCTTATGCAAAATTTTTAAAATATATGTTATCTAACAAGAGGAAATTAGAAGAGAATACTACTGTTTCTTTGAATGCAGAGTGTAGTGCTATTTTGCAGAACACTCTCCCTAAGAAATTAGGAGATCCAGGTAGCTATTCAATTCCAGTGAAGCTTGGAGATATTGAGATCAATAGGGCACTATGCGATCTGGGTGCAAGTGTGAGTCTTATGCCGTTGTCCATATGCAAGAAGCTACAGCTAGGTGAGCTTAAACCCACACGAATATCTCTACAACTTGCAGACAGGTCAGTGAAGTTTCCTTTGGGTGTACTTGAGGATGTAGCCCTCAGAGTAGGTAAGTTTTTCATTCCATGTGATTTTGTTGTGATGGAGATGGAAGAAGATGTGAATGTTCCGATCATACTTGGTAGACCTTTGCTAGCTACTGCAGGTGCAATCATAGACATGAAGAAAGGTAAGATCACTTTTGAAGTAGGTGATGAAAAGTTGGAATACTCACTTTTGAATGTCATGGGTGCTCCCTCTACGGGAGACACTATTTATCAGATAAGACAACTTTCGCAACAGGTGAACCGCCTATCGACTCTTCAAGATCAAGCGAAGGTTCAGAAAGAACAATGCAGTGCTATCTTCCTGAGAAGAGATGAACTATTCCCGAAGCAAATTGTTGAGAAGGTGTGCATCAAGGAGCCTAGAAAGGACGTAAAGAGCAAGGATGTTCAAGGCTCCAAATATGTAGCTCCACCGGCCAATGATGAACCGATGCCTTTCATGGGGGAGTTTGATAAGTCGTGTTTTGTGTGTATTTATTAGCTTATTTTTGGTTGGTTTTATTAGCTTAGTCGAGTGTTTTAGTCCATTTTGGTGTAATTTGGTTTAGTTTCGATGATTCGATGCTTTTATGGGTAGTTTCGTTGTTTTTGATGTATTTCAGGATTAACGGAGCTAATTGAGTGAAAATGAAGCAAAACGTTGATGAAATACTTGACAAATATGACACCTGTTCACTATTATGCTCATAACGTTTGATATACAAATGATAATGGAGTGATTTAAATTGCATTGGAAAGTAGACTTAAAGACCTTTCCAACGATATATTACACGCCTCAAACGGAGCTCTGGATATGAAGTTATGACTGATTTAAGATGAGTGATATTCGCAGCAGAGCAGGCACGTCCGTGCCTGGAAGACAGACTCAGCAGCGTTTTTATTTTTAGAGAGGCACGTCCGTGCCTCACACTAGGCACGTCCGTGCCTCCTGGGATTCTTGTGCGCCAAGCTTTTTGCCGACTTTCTTATCTTTTCTAAGGCTATTTATATACCAAGTGGTGTTTTATTATTTCATTAAGTTTTATTCTAGCCTTTTATTTTTACGTTATTAAGAACTAGTTCTCCATTATTATTTTCTAAGTTTTTGTAATTCAAGATTCAAGATTCAAGCTTTCTACTTTCAATTTTATTCAAGATTTGGTATTTATTTTTCATCCTTTGTTATTCAATTATGTTTTCATTATTTATTATTGTTTTTGTTTCTTTAATCATGTGTGAGTAGATTCTTTAATTCAAGATCTAGTGTAGCCCTATTATTATTGATGCATGAATTAAATCTTTAAATTCTTTGACAACTTTAACAATTGAATTGCTAAATTGATTGTGATTATGCCAATGCTAGGTTAGACGTAACTATAGTATTGCGATTATTCCATTGTTTTTATCACAGCGAGAGTTGGGTATAAACGGATTTGAGTAAATCAATTTAGGGTTTGATTCTCAACACGAGAGTAGTTGTGTTTGATAATTGGGAAGTGAGAGTAACGTGTTTAATGTCTTTAATATGCATGATACCATGAGAATAGGATTGATTGTATGTTAGGGAAGTCATTGATACTCGAGAGAGATCCTTGGTAATTATTAGGGTTTACTTTTCCCCGTTCGATTGAAATCGTATGTTAAAGGTACAATTACAATTGCATCGATAATAATTGTGGTGAAACTAGATCTTGGATGTTTTAAGTACTTGATTTAATCATCGTATTTAGTTTATTTTCGAATTCTTCTCATACTTAGTTCCGTAGATAATTGATTATAATTGATCCTTGCTTAGTAGAAATTCGAGTCTATTTAATTATTTTTGAACCTTAGTCTCTTGGGATCCGACCCTTACTTGCCAGTCTACATTAGTATTGGTCTGTTAGGTTATTTTTGATAGGTACGCGACACTCCTACCAGTTGCCTACGTATCCTTAAAAAGGAATCAAGCCAAACGTAGCTCTATTAGGTCAAGAACCCATGCGACTAGGCAGAGAATTTCTGGAGTTGATCCAAGTTGGTTAAATTTTGGAAACCGTTACCGTCCATGTCTACCAATTGCGCCGCTCCGCTAGACAAGATGGCTTTAACAATGTATGGGCCTGACCAATTTGGTCTAAATTTTCCTCTTGGATCTAACACACTTTTGGGAAGTGCCTTAAGTACCAGGTCACCCTCTTTGATGTTCCTAGTCTTGACTTTTTTATTAAAATGTCGCGCCAAACGCTGTTGGTAGGTTTGGACATGATGCAAAGCTGCCAAGCGTTTTTCATCAAGTAAGACCAGTTCATCATATCTTGCTCTAATCTTGTCGACTTCATCTAGTTGGTTTTCCAATGCGATTCGAAGAGAAGGGATTTCGAGTTCAATTGGTTGTACAGCTTCAACTCCATAGACCAAAGAGAAAGGGGTAGCCCCCGTTGATGTACAAACAGAGGTTTGATATCCCCAAAGGGCGAAATGTAGCTTACTTGGCCAATATTTGTAATTTTCTGTCATCTTTTCGATGATAGTTTTCACATTTTTGTTGGCCCGATTCGACCGCACCATTTGTTTGTGGTCTGTAAGGTGATGATCTGTGATGCTTGATATGATATTTCTGTAATAATTCTGCGCATTCGGCTTGGAAATGCGTTCCATTATCGCTGATCATCTCATGTGGTACCCCATTGCGGCATATGATATTTTTCTCAATGAATTGAGCTACGTGTTTCGCCGTCAGCTTAGCATATGAGGCAGCTTCGACCCATTTGGTGAAATAGTCGATCGCTACGAGGATGAATTCGTGCCCCCCTTGTCCTGGTGGTGTTATTTTACCAATGATGTCGATGCCCCATGTGGAGAAAGGCCATGGAGAAGTATATGTGTACAGAAGCGAAGGTGGAACATGATGTAAATTTGCGTAGACTTGACACTTCATACATTTATTGACGTATTCGTGACAATCTCTCTCCATAGTAGTCCAATAATAACCTTGTCGTTGAATCTTTTGGACTAACATCTTTGCATTCATGTGCGTTCCACATATACCGGCATGGAGGTTTTCCATGGTTCTGTGTGCTTCTTTCTTGGCTACGCATAAGAGATTTCTCCCCATTGCAGTCCTCTTGTGGAGTTCTCCCCTGATGAGCACATACTGTGAGGCCAGGAGCCTCAAAGCACGGCGTGCCCTTTTATCAGTATTGGGAGGGTATTCTCCTCTTGTCACATAGTTAAGGACATCTGTATACCATGGCTCTTCATCTTCTTCTTGTGGTTCTTGTTCATCGTCGAGTGCGTGAACATAAGCCGGCTCATATCTTCTTTCTATGGTCAACGACATTCTGATTGTATCCGTTGGAATTCGCACCATTGATGCTAATTTAGCTAGTGCGTCGGCGAATTGGTTTTCTTCTCTCGACAAATACGTATATTCCACTTCATCTAGTTACTCCGTGAGAGTTTCTAAATGAGCTTGATACGTAGCGAGACTTTCACTTCTTACTTTCCATCTCTTGGAGATTTGATTAATGATTAGTGAAGAATCACCATAGATTCTGAGTTTCTTAATTCCCAAGGCGACAGCTGTTTCTAATCCCAAAATACATGCTTCATATTCTGCGGCATTGTTGGTGACATCAAAGTTGAGCTTCATGGAAATTGGGATATGCTCTTCATTGGGTGATACAAGCAAGACTCCTACACCACATCCTTTTTGGTTTGAAGCTCCATCGAAATAGAGCGTGCAGCTATCATCTTCGGTCATGAGTAAATCTTCGTCAGGGAAATCGTACTCATCTTCTTCTTTCTCAACTTCTTCCAGCGGAAAGTCTTCTAAGAAGTCAGAAACCGCAGAACCTTTGATGGCTTTTTGTGGTACAAATTTCAAATCAAACTGAGCAAGATTGACTATCCACCTTGATAATCTGCCATTGAGTGTTTCTTTTTCAAACAAGTATTTGAGAGGATCCATCTTGGACACGACATGCACTGTATGAGTGAGCATGTAATGTCTTAGTTTCTGTGCGGACCATACAAGTGCGAGACACAATTTTTCAAGTGGTGTGTATCGTGTCTCATATCCTTGAAGCTTCTTACTCAAGTAGTAGATTGCATTCTCCTTGCTTTCAATCTCTTGTGCTAGCATTGCCCCCATCGTTTCTCTTGTGACCGTAAGGTAGAGTCGAAGAGGAAAGTCAGGTATTGCTAGCGCTAGCACGGGTGGGTTTGCCAGGTACTCTTTGATTTTGTCGAAAGCTTTTTGGCAATCGTCATCCCATGTGACTGGGACATTTTTCTTAAGCTTCTTGAATATAGGTTTACATATCGTTGTGAGCTTTGATATGAACCTACTTATATATTGCAACCTTCCAATGAAACCTCGAATCTCCTTCTCATTCTTGGGCGGTGGCATGGCCATGATCGCCTTTACTTTTGTGGGATCTATTTCAATCCCTCGAGAACTGATCACATATCCAAGTAATTTGCCTGAAGTGACTCCGAATGCACACTTTGCTGGATTTAATCTCATGTTGTACTTGCGGAGTCTTTCAAAGAACTTGCGAAGTGCAATGATATGGCTTGGGCGATCTTTGGACTTAACGATCATATCATCGACATAGAACTCCACCTTTTTGTGCATCATGCCGTGTAACAATGTTGTAGCTGCTCTTTGGTAGGTGGCACCCGCGTTTTTTAACCCGAATGGCATTACCGTATAGCAATATGTACCCCATTGTGTGATGAATGTGGTATTCTCCATATCTTCTTCAGCCATCAATACTTGATTATATTCGGCGTAATCGTCCATGAATGATAGGAGTGCATGGTTTGCTGTGTTATCGACCAGAATGCCAATGTGAGGTAGAGGGAACCCATCTTTTGGGCTTGCTTTATTGAGATCCCTATAATCAACACACATTCTGACCCTTCCATCCTTCTTTGGAACTAGAACCACATTTGCTATCCATTCTGGATACTTGGATACTCTGATGAAACCTGCGGCCAACTGCTTCCTGATTTCTTCTTTGATTTTGAGAGCCACATCCGGTTTCATACGGCGCAAATTTTGTTTGACAGGCTTCATATCTTGAATGAGTGGTATCGTATGCTGAGCTATATCCCTGTCAATTCCTGGCATATCTTGGTATGACCAAGCAAATACATCAAAAAATTCACTAAGCAAGTTAATTAGCTCTTTGCGTTCATCTTGACTTAGTGTTAATCCAATTTTTACTTTTTTAACAGTCGTATCATTGGAAATGTTAACTGTTTCTGTATCTTCAATAACTGCTGTTTTATTTTCGTGTTCTTCCATTGCTTTTATTATTTATTTGTCATTTTTATCATTAGCAAAGCAATATTGATCAGGGTTAGGGGAATGACACGCATCGTAAGCAAAGGTATTCATTTTATTGAATTCATTGGCTAATACATCAAGAGGGGAAAGGTCAGCTGCGACCTCACCATGACTAGAAAGAGATGACTCAACAAGAGATTCGGGATTGGACTCTATAGCAGAAAGAGGGTCGGCCTCAGACTCTAAGGACTCGTCTACAGACTTAGACTCAGACTCGGACTCGGACCCAGACGACTCCGACTCATCAAACATAGGGCCTTCGCCAGCGGTTATTTCCAACTTCTCTCCGCTTGGTGTAGTGATCCTCAATGTCTTGCGCCATCCCCTTAAAATATTATCAGCATGGACGATTAACTTGGAGGGGTCAAAATCCTTGTTTGCTACAACAGCTTGAACGAGCTCGGAATTATCATTGCAGACGGGCTTAGATTCATTCTTCTCCATTGCAAAAAGAAGGTTAATGCCTAGATCATCAGAGCTTGGGCTAGCTGGTTTCTCAGTTTTGAAGAGCTCTTCGTCTTCATCAAGAAAGTCACAATCGAGGAACATCTCGAACCCTGGTTCACGCTTCCCATCGTAGACGAATGGCTCAGGGAATTCTTAGCATGAGAAGTCTTCCCCTTCTTTGATGTACTGGCCATTGAGGGTTAATGGATATGGATCCATGGCCATTTCCGTCTTCATGATTCGAGCGTTGTTGCGAGCCTTCATCTTCAAAAGAGCTTGTTTCACATCTTCTTTTGTTGGCTTGAATCCCAAGCCAAAAGTATCCTTCTTGAGTGCACCAGGATGGCCCCAAAGTTCGGCCATTTTCTTTTGGAGTCCGAGGGTCATTCCGGGGAAATGCCCTTGCTTCCTTAGAATGGCATTAATATTGGTGTTTGAAAAGGGATCTAAGTTGAGATGACACTTTTCCTCCTCTTCAATCATGAGAACATCATCTAGTGAAAACCCCCAAAGATCTTCATCTTCTTCGTCATGTTCGACATGGACGATAGGAGTGTCGATAACTTGAATGCGCAAAGGAGAAGCATCAATAGTAATTGGAAACCCTCCAACTATGGCTTTCACTTTCTGGTGCAGCACTGATGGAATCGCCTTTAGCTCATGAAGCCAAGGGCGTCCTAACAACAGATTGAAAGAGGCCTTAATGTCCACAACCTGAAATTTGGTGCGACGTTCAATGGCCCCAGTAGCTATGTTGAGTATGATAGTACCCACGGCTTGACGCGAGTATTATCATAAGCTCGAATCCCTTGAGTAGAGGGAGTCAGTTCTTCATTCTATATGCCCAACTTCTTTGTAGTGCGGAGTGGGCATATATTGATTGCAGATCCGTTATCAACCAGGCTCATAGGAACATTCATTTGCCTACACACCACAGTGAGGTGTAAGGCCTTATTATGTCGATCCCCTTCCGGGGGCAGATCCTTGTCAGAAAACGAAATCAGATTGCTAGTACTTGGCAATTCAGTAGTGAGAAAGTTGACCAGTCCTTGAGGAGTCATGTCATCATCAACTCCTATTTTCACCAGAGCATTCATCACAGCCTTTCTATGCTCGTGGGATGTGGCCAAAAGCTTCCATACATTCATCTCCACCTTGGTCTTTTGCAATTGTTTGATCACATTGTTGTTCACAGGGTCGATGGGATCAACTATCGAATGTGATTGTAGCGGAGGTGGAGGTGGACTAAGTTGCTGCAACTGTCCACTTCTGGTGAGAATCTTGACCTCAAAGTCTCCCCAAACATCTTCACTCGTGCCAAGAGATGAACAGGCTATATCCTTGAGATAGACGTCTTCATCGTCACTATCCCAAATTCCATTCACTTCTTCAGAACTCGAGACAAATACAACTTCCCGCAGATGTTCATTCACAGGTTGAATGAGTATTGAAGGATCAAAGGAGACTTCATCTCCCATGATAGCCAAAGCATCAGAAAGAGGACCTGTTTGAATGTTAGGCTTCTTGCCCCCTGGAGGGATAAGAAGTTGATTAGCATCAATTAGGTCTTGGATTGCATCCTTCAACCTCCAACACTTCTCAGTATTATGAACCTTGCCTTGATGAAACTTGCAATAATCATTGGGATCATAGCTAGCAGTCCTATTCTCTGGTCGAGGTTCTGGAAATGGTTCAATTGGCATAATCAATCCTTCACCATGCAAACGGTCATAAGCAGCATCATAAGTCATTCCCAAAGGCGTGTAAACCCTCCTTTGCCTTTGGAATATTTGAGGAGGAGCATTAAGGGCAAGCACATCATTGATATTGATATTGTTGGTAGCATTATTGGGCTTGGAAGACGAAGAAGAAGGAGTATCGTTCTTCTTGTTTTTCCAAGTGCTGTTATTACTGTTGCTACCAGCAGTCTTCATTAGTTCGTCCTCGATATTGATTCCAATATCGTATACAGCTTCAAAGGTACTCAGAGGCAGAAACTTCAAGTGTTGCTTGTACTTATGAGTCAGATTGGCAATGAACAAGCGAACCATCTCCTTTTCCTTGGGGGGATCCACCAAGAGCGCGACTGTTTCCCTCCACCTGCTTAGGTATGTGGTGAAGCCTTCATTCTCTTTCTGTTTGAGAATGGAGAGTTCACGTTCAGAAGTCTTGGCCTGAATGTTACACTTGTAACAATTCATAAAGCTTTCAGCAACATCCTCCCAGGTCGCGACATGTTTGGATTCCAAAGAGTAAAACCATTGTTGACAGACATGCTCCAAGGAAAGAGGGAACACTGTAGGGAAGAGCGTCACATCTACTCCCTTAAGAGCCATAGTCGCAGAAAAAACCTTCAAATGGAAAAGCGGATTATCAGTAGGCTTGAATTTGGGAATATCAGTAGTGGAAAACTTCTCAGGAAGCTTGTCCCTTATGGACGAAGAGGTGACAGGTTGTTCCACATAAGTGAATTCTTCAGAAATTTTGCTCATCTGTTTCTTAATCTTGTCCATCGCAGCGGTAGTGACATTGTTTTGATTGTCTTGCTCTACCGTGCTGACTCTAGTGGTGAGTGTCTGCATCATGTTAGACAATTTTTCAATTGTCTTGTTGAGGTTCTCGATGTCTTCCTTAGTAGCCATTAGTTGAAAGTAGACTGGAGATGGATCTTGTGGAGATGATTGTGGTGGTTTCCTTGTACGCCTCTTTGGTATAAGAGGTTGTTGAGGTATTGACTCGAACCGTAACAATCTACCCCTGCTTCTTGACCAAGTGCTGTGACACCGAAACAAACACACCTTTAATGACCAAACTTAATCTTAACCCATCCGGATAAAAAAAAAACAAAAAAAGAAAAATGAATTTTTTTTTAAAAAAAAAATCTATAATTTTGAAATTCTATTTGTTTATTTTTTTTTTTTAAAATATGGGAGGATACTATCCGACTTACTCCGAAAAAAAAGACACAAAAAACAAGACTATCCTAAAATACGGTCAAAAAGTAGTGCATGACTAAGGAAAAAAGTGTGTGAACACGATATGTGAGTGATTAAGTGAGGTTATGGACGCGTGTTTTGACCGTATAGCTAGACGTGACACCAAACTGGACACAGCAACCACATACGTACGCACAAAAACCAAAAAAAGACTAACAGGACACTTTTCCTGGGCACCGTGTCACGGTGCTGACTTTCGTGACACAGTGCAATCTACCGTCAGACGGTAGAAAGCCCCATGTCACGCTACTGTTCACCGTGGCGCGGCAGAACATGCCATGACACGGTGCGCAGTTCCAGGTCAATTTTGTGATTTTTTCTATATTTTAATCGATTTTAGGTCCATACTAATTACTATGTGAAAATAAAAACCCTCGGTCATGGGTTAAACAAAAGAGTAAACACATGAAGATTAGCACCAAACAATGACATAGCATTTAGGCACAATGATGTAAAAAAAGTTCGCAACCTAGAGTCAAGACCTATGTTCAACTATTGGTCAAGCTTTTGGTGTCAAAAGGGTACCATGGTTAAGAGTTTGGACGCGTTAGCAAGGCAGCCTCCCTTAAGGGTGTATGCCAACGGGCGGCTCCAAGAGTTCGTGATAAAATCAAATCAACTCCATGCTTTAGGTGGATTTAATGACTCAGATGAACCCTTATTGCCATGAGCGTTTTTGGGTTGATAGAGCTTAAATCCCCCGGGGCTAAGACGCATGTAGAACACATACGTTTTTTCAGAAAAATCGAAGGAAGTTGACTGTGAGAAGAGAAAATAAGCCACCGGACTGATTTTAGGACTGCCGTGACACGGCTGATTTTGCCGTGGCACGACAGTGAGAAGATCTGACAGGTGCCCTGTTTTCTTTCGTGCGCAACCAATTTATTTAATTTTTCCTACGAGACAGACCTGAATGCGACAATAAAACGTCTATGTAGATGCAAAAATGCCAAATTAATCACAGGAATATTTTTTCAAGAATCTTTCAAGTCTCATCCACTCGTCTTAATTAAATATCCATCACTCAAATCGATAAATAACCAAGAATCCTCCCAGTGGAGTCGCCAAATTGTAGGCGTCGCTCAAAGTGCGCCTACGTAAAATCATGTGGTGAATATGCTTGGCACTCATAGGAAGTGGGAATTGACATTACGATTAGGGACAACGATTAGGGACAAAGCAAAGTAGGGAGCCGCCAACAAGTTTTTAAGGAACTTGTAAACCGTTCACGGATCATAAAAGGCAACCACAAATAAGGGACAACGACAAGCAACAACGATTGACCCGTGAAGGTCACACCCCATTCATAATCCATGAGATTACTAACTCCATATGGTTCGGAACCACAAAAGGAGGATCGGGGATGATGGTACGAAGTGAGTCATGGAGTCACATTCGCCCGTATTGGCCTCTACTCGATTCTTATAGTGAAAAAACATTCCTGCGATCTCAAAGGCATACAAACAAAATATTCAATTCGCTCCAAACTATTATTAGGCTAAATTGTTTTAATATTAATGCAACACATTATTCTAAAATATTGTGATCACTTGAATTAACAACAAGATTAAAAAGGAACCTAAACCGGTTGTCCAAATTATCTTATTAGGCGTGATTTTCAATTACATATTCCCTTTAAACATGCAATATGGTGATCATAGCAATAATAGAATAAACATTAATATTGGAAGCAATTTAGCAATAATTCCAACAATTTAAAATCGTTAGAAAAGTAATAGAAATAAGAGAAACATAATTCTTACTTTGATTCTTTTTGTTTGCAACTACAAAATAATAAACGAGTTAGTAACTTCAAGGAAATAAAACAACAATTAAATTAAATTAAATTTTCATTAAACGGGGAAGAAAACGCGTTAAAAGTTTACGCGGAAAAGACACGGAATTTCCCGTGTCACGGCAGATTTCCCGTGTCACGGGAAATCCCACCATCAGACAGGAATGATTCCCGTGACACGGTGGGTACATGCCGTGGCGCGGGAATTCCCATCCCGTTTTTCTGTTTAAATACATTTTAACCCTAATTTCATTCGGCATTTTAAGTGCCGATTGATAATTTCGGTCCTTTTCTGACTTATTATTATTTGGGCTGAAATAAAAAAATAATTAAATAAAATAAATAAAAGGTTTGGGCTAATAATAAATTTGGGCTGAAATTAAAACTATGCTTTTACCAAACATCAAGAATAGTCCATGGACTGTTCAAAAATATGAATTTAATCGAATACGATTTTTTTAAGCACTCTCGGGATTAAATAATGAACCCGACCAATAGTGGCGGTGAAAGGTTGTTCATCATCGGGTTTGGTTTTGGGGAGACATTTTTAGGTGTCTACACACTTCCATGAGGAAGTCAGCCATGACACCAACAAATGCTATAACCTAAAACGGACGTTGGACCGTCTAGTTGACAAGAGGGTGCTGAAATCAAACATCTTGAAGTCCAAAGCGATTGTCAAGATAAATCCTGGACAATCGTCCAAGACTGTCCAGCCAGCTAGTAGCTCGGACGCTAACAAAGAGATGGTCTACACCATTGAAGACACGTTCGTTGGAGGTGGCTTGACCATTTGGGGCACCAAACATCATCTGAAGACGGCTAGGGAGTGATATCTCTCAGACGTCAAACCCACGGTTGCAGTAGTCAGGTAGAGGAAGGAGCGAATAGACCTTGACGATGTCAAGGACTCTAATCCATCCCCACTTGCTGAAAAGAAAAGAAAGTATGAACTGGTGAAGCTGAAGAAAGAGAAGAAACATCAATTACTAACCTGGGAACAGTCAGTTGAACTCCTCCCCCAGTTGGCTGGTGATCACATTGATATTCCTCTAGATGACAAACGTCCAGAGCAAACTGTTAAGGTGGGCATGGTTGCTTTTGAAAAGTTGGGTGCAGACTTGCACCTTCTATTGAAGGATTTCAAAGACATTTTTGCCTTTTAAGTGGAAGAGATGCTAGGAATCAACTTGGATCTCGCTGTCCACAAACTCGCCGTTGATCTTAAAAAGAAGGTCATCCGGCAAAAGAAATGAAATCAAGGAGAGGAAAGAAGTGAGGCGGCAGCTGCCAAAGTCAAAAAGTTATTAGATGCAACGTTCATTCGGCCATGTAACTTCCCCGATTGGATTGCAAACGTTGTGCTTGTAAATAAGCTGAATGGTACCTGACGCATGTGTGTAGACTACACTGACTTGAACAAAGCTTGTCCAAAGGACAATTACCCACTTCCAAAGATCGAAAGTCGTCTGGTCAACTCTACAGTCGATCATGCTTTGATGAGTTTTATGGATGCCTACTCAAGCTTTTATCAGATACCCCTTTTGAAGAAAGATCAAGAGAAGACGGCCTTCTTCACTAATCAAGAGTTATTCTTCTATACTGTGATGTCGTTTGGCTTGAAGAATGCGCATACTACTTTCCAACGAATGATTAATATTGTCTTCATTAATCAAATTAGGAGAAATGTAGAGGCGTAAACTGATGACATGATAGTAAAATACAAGCTATAAATAGATCATCTTGTTGATCTCCAAGAAACCTTCACCACACTCAGGCGGCAAAAGATCATTTTAAATCCCAAGAAATGTGTTTTTGTTGTTGAGTGTGGGAAGTTTCTCGGATTCTTGACTGATCAAATGGGGACAAAGGCTAACCCTAAGAAGATGCAGGCGGTAATTGACATGAAGTCACCCCGCATTGTCAAGGAAGTTCAAAAACTCACCGGTTGCCTGGCGGCATTGGGGAGATTTCTCAGTTGGTTAGGTGACAAATGTCTTTATTTCTTCCAAGCAAATAGGAAGAAGACTAGATTTGAATGGGGGGATGATGCTGAGGCGGCCTTTTAGAAATTGAAAGAACACTTTGATGAGTATTTAAGTTGTTTTTACCTTCTTTTCATAACTTTCTTTCTTAATAAATGTTAAGTTTTATGCATTTTCTCTTTATTTCCCTTTTGTCTCTTATTTTGTGTTTTTATGGTTTTTCTAGTGTTTTCTCCGTTATTTCTTCTCTTTTCGTGGTTGTAGGTATTGAACGAGGTTCGGATCTCAATATTGGTGGTTTTTTAAGTTGGAAGATGCTTTTGGAGTAAGCTCATTGCATTGGGAAAGCTCAAGATGCAAGGAGGTGGATGCTCCAAGTTCTAGCTCTTGTGCTCTCAAGTCGTGCTCCCATGAAGAAGTGGTGTTGAAACCACCGTGGAGTCTATTTGAATTTGCCATGCTTAGTTTCTATCATCATCATACTGCGTGCATTCGAAGACCCTTTTGTGAACACATTAAGCATCGAAGAAGTCGGAAGAAACCCAAAAAGGCGCGGGCACGCAAGCCCCGTGCAAGGACGCGCAAGCGTAGGTTTTGTTTTGCACCTCTTATAAATATCTATTTTTAGCCCAATTTTTTAAAGAAGTTTAAACATAATTTTGATCATAATTTTAGCTTAGTTGAGAGCTTCTCTCTCTAGATCTAGGTTTAGTTTTATAAGTATATTTAGAGAGAGAAATCAAGGAATTTCATTGGGGATTTGAGAGATTGAAGATTCAAGGTGACAATTGTATTGAAGATCTCCATAATCAATCAATGAGGATTTCTAACTATATCTCATGTTATTGCTTTGTTTAATTTCATGTTTGTTTTGTTTGATTTTGATGTTTGATCTTCATTAGTGTAATTGTTCTTAATATTTTGTTGATTCTTGATTTCTTTAGTTGTTTGTTGATAGATGATGATTCTTAAGTAGGTTTTTTGGCTAGTAATTGGATGAAAATTGTATGATTGATTGATTGTGATTAATTTGGGAATTGTGTTGACTGATTGTTGAGATTAAAGTGATTAATGTAAGTTTGCATGTGTGTAATTCGATTACGCCTTGAGAATTATGCTAGAATGCATTCTGATTGCTAGTGACACGACCAATTGATTTAGGAATTGCAATCATCGATTGGTTTGGATTGTGATTCTCTTAGTTTGTTATTCGTAGAGACATCTAGCTTAACGATTAGGAGATAACTCTTTGATTCCAATTGATAGCTTTTATCATTAGTATTCACAACCATTGATTGGCATGTTTTTCCGAAGTTGTTGCAATTGTCATGATTACTTATTGATCCCCATTCCTAGTGCTTTATTTATTTGTTTGGTTGTTTGTTTTATTAGTTATTAGTGTTACCTCATTACCTTTGGTTTTGACCTAGCTTAGGCGCGTAAATTGAAAGCACTTGAACGTAACCATTCCTTTGGGTTTGACCCTTGACTTACCTCTATACTTGTATTTAGGTATGTTAGTGTTTATAAATTTTGTTTGGCTTAGGGAGTATTAGTCAACGACCTAGTTTTTTCCCTCATCAAAATGGCACCATTGCCGGGGAACGGTATTTATGTTTTAGTGTTTTTGATTGCTTGAGTCTAAGTCTTTGTACATACTCTTCTTTATTTGATTTTTGCTTGTTTTAAAAAAAAAAATGGCATGTCTCTCATTTTCTCAATATAATAATGAGCCTTTTTGTGAATATTTCAATAGACTTGAGGAATTTTTGGAATATAATTGTTGTAGTTTTTGGGAGGCTTGCGAGTTTTGTTATTTTAGTTTGAATGAGAAAACTAGGGATGATGTTGAATGAATGCATAATGGTGAATTTAGAGCATTATCAATTGATGATGCTTGGGACTTTTATGTTTAGTTTACTTAGGATGTCTAGAATAGGTGTAATCATGTTTCTAATATTGATGTGCAATGTATTGATTCTTCTTATGTTAGCATGAATTCCCATTATTTGTCACATGATTCCATTAGTGAACCTAAGACAAATGATTTCAACTCTATTTCCCCTATTGCTCATGATGATGAGGTGCATGCTTAAGTTGATGTTAATGGTTTGTTTCAATTTTCTTCATTATTTACCATGCCTTGTTGTGATGTTCTTCGTTCCCTTAATAACGAATCTCATGTTCTTAATTGCGCCCCCACTCCCCCATGTGATGTATATGATCATGATTCTAATGTCAATTCTTTCAATCTTGGTTGTGATCCTTCTTCTCTTATTGAGCCTCAACCTTCTACACCTTTTGAATCTCTTATTGCTATTTTAGAAACTCAAATTAGGCATATTGAGCTTAGTAATGAGCTTGGACCTAGTAAGGAGTCGATTTTTAATTATATGAGAAGTCAATTGGAGATGATGAAAAAGAGTGATGAGCGTTTTGAGGAGGAAAGAAGGAGAGGTGGAGAGCTAGAAATCCCATTGTCATATTTGATGCTTGTTTGTAGAAATTCTAAATCCAATGTGTGTGTTGAGGAAGATGATGATGATTTTGAGCAACAAAGAGAGTATGAGAATCCCATTAATGAGCATTTGAGTGGTGGTGAATGAGTTGAGAATGTAGAGAGTGTTGATTTCGAAAACCTCCACCATCCTTCCAATCTTGATGAGTCTCTTGTGCATGATTGTGATTTTTCTAGCCATGAGTATTCAAACTAGTTTGTGGTTAAGTTTAATATGTTCTTTGAGAGTCAAGAGAAAACCCATAGCCTTTTGAATGAGTTCATTCAGGATGCTTCATGGGAGAGATATGAGTTTGAAATGAATTTGAATCCATTTATGCATGGTTTTGAGACTTTGGGCTTTAAGGATGTTGAGAGAGTTGTTGTTCATTTTTGTGATGGAGGGGATTATGGTGTTCCTCTTGGAAGTTGGATATTTGAGGGATGGAGATCATGAGAGTTTTTCTTTTGAGGATTCTATGATTGATGTTCATGCTCTTATTGGCACTAGTGGAAAAAATCTTATTTGTAACAAGCTATTCGTAACGGGCATATGATTTCCCATTATAATTACATCATTTGTAACGGGAAAATTCAATGTCCGTTACGAATAACTAACTAGCCGTAACCAACAAGTCTTGCCCGTTACGAATAACCAACTAGTCGTAACCAACAAATTTTACCCGTTACAAATAACCAACTAGTCGTAACCAACCAGCCTTGCCCGTTACCAATAGGTTTCAATGTAAACCCTAACTTTTAATTTCCCCTTTCTCACTCTCTCTCTCTCAAAATATTATTTCTCCTTTCTCTCTCCAATGTTGAAGTAGCTCGGTCGTCTCAGATCCCTCAAGTCCATTGAAGCAGGTCAGTTATCAGCTCAAGCTCCATTTTTTCTCTCTCTATTGAGAATCGAGGATGTCAGGCGTATCGTTGCAGTGCGAAGATTGCAGAGCTCTTCTGAAATCCATAGAAGAAGCTTAACAACAAGCAGAGCTCACTTCTCACTCCAATTTCTCTAAATCTACTGAGCCTTCTTAATCTCGTCTGCTCTTCCTGCGGCAAACCCTGCCGCTCCAAAACTGTTATCTCCTCTCTCTTTTCCATTGTTCATATTCAATTTGAAATTAGGGTTTTTTTATTTGTTGAATTTGATTTATCAGGAGTGTGATTTCAAAGTAAACCCTAACTTTTAATTTCCCCTTCTTCTTGTTCCCCTTCTTAGGGTTTTCGATTTTTGGAGCTCAGATTTTCTTCAAGTTTTTCTGCCATGGGAAGAAGTAAGATCTTCATTTATGCGCTATTTTTTCTGGATTAGTGTTTCGATTGTACTGTCAGTTGTCAATTTTGTTTTTGTATGTTCAATCGATTTTGTGAATTCAGTTTCTTCGTCGAATTGGGGTTAATAGTCGAATTTCGCTATTTTTTCTGCTAGTTTTTGCTTGAGTTTTTGTGTTGATATAATCATTTTGAGTGATTATTTTCTATGAAGTCTGTAACTTTTCATATTTTTGTTTCGATTCGATCAATTTCTTTTTTTGTTAGGGCACAGTCGAACAAGTTATGGATGCAATGCACGTGCCAATCGTGTTCGACAAGTACGAGGTTCATGGTGATATAAAGAAGATTCCAGAAGGTGTTCTTGAATAAATTCGCGAGAATAAGGTTTGTATCAAAGGTGGGT